AATGCAAGAAGACTTAAAGCAGCCCCATAAATACCAAAGGAGAACCCACCAAGCAAAAGCAAGCTTTAGAAAACCAATCTAATACCAAACAGAACAGCAATGTTTCCTGTTTGCATTTGGGCTGAAAGCATAGAAATGAAACATGTTCGACTGTCTTCACTGTGAAATTTCAGACAAAAACAGTGGTGCTGCTACAGTCACAAAAATCACAGCCTAGAAAGATTGCACCTCACTTGGTATGTCAGAACTCAAGTTTCTGAAAACAAAACTCGCTTTTTGTACTCGGTGCAGTTTGCTGCTATGGTGTAAGAAATCTCCATTTCTGAGAACAGCAACACATGTGTGGGAGAGGAACAAAAGCACCTGCCAAAACCAATCTGTGGAAAGAAAAAAAGAAAACAAAACTCTGCCAGTTTGTTGGCCCCTATAATAAGTAAACAGTCAGGAAACCATGAAACAGTAACAGGTATATATTCTGCATAACTCTAGTCTGATGAGTTCCTGGGGTCTGTTTGCATCAGCAAGTTTCTTCCATTTGCCTCAGATTTCCTTTTGCCACTCAGGCCCAAACCCATGGCCTCCCTTGCCTGGACTGGTGCAGTAGCCTCCACCTATTCTCCAGCTTCCTCTTGGCCTCATCAGCTGTCTCAACACAGCACCTGCTGACCCTGTAAAGTGGAGGCCAGGTGTCTTAGCACAGGCTGCCATAACAAAATACCACAGCCTTAGTGGCTTCAACAACAGATATTTATTTCTCACTGTTCTAGAGGCTACAAGTCCAAGATGAGGGTGTCAGTATGGTTGGGTTCTGGGGAGAGCCCTGTTCTGGCTTGCTGATGGCAGCCTTCTCAGAGTGTTCTCTTATGGTGGGAAAGAGCAAGAGTTCCGGGCTTTTTCTTTTCTCCTAAGGGCACTAATCCCATCATGGGGGCCCATCCCTCGTGACCTCATCTAAGCTAAATCCCATAAGCTCCACCTCCAAATACCATCACATGGTGGGGGGTAAGGCTTCATCATGTGAATTTTGGAGGGACACAAACATCAGACTGTAAAACCAGGGCATGTCACTCCTTTGCTCAGGTATCTCCAAGGGTGGCTTCAAAAAGGCCAACATCCTTGCACCAGCCCCCAGGCCCTAGACCTTTCGGGGGAGGGTACAGCTTGCTTGACAGTACTCAGGAAATTTGTGAAGGCATTTCTTCATGGCCACAGGGACTGGTGGTGGGGGGGTGGGGAGATGGGGGTGGTGGTGAGGGGGTGGTGAGGAACACAAGAGCTAAGTGTGGGGCAGACAGCACTGCACAGCCAAAAATTATCCCAGATCTATACACTGCTTCATGTTCTGTCAGGCTCTCCCATATGCCGAAAACCTTCAGTAACTCCCTGAACCTATAACAGCACTTGTATAAAAACACAAAAGCATTTTTTGCATAATTTTATACAACTCATCTTCTCAGAATGTATTAACTCTTGTATGAATCAGGTAAAGTCACACTGCTCTTGTTTGGTGCATTACTAAGAATTGTTTGCCATCCTGGGAATCCAGTCACAAGTATCCTGGTGTTTTGATCAGTCTGCATCAGCAGGCACCGCACTCACTCAGAAGTGGAGTGTCACCACGTGTCAGAGCATTTTCGTGTTAAATTACGTCTATGGGAGTCAAAATTACTTTTCTATTATTCCAGTGTTAGATTACCAGCTGGGTAATACACACATTTCTTTCTGTAATTGTATGTGTGTAGGTTACAGTCGCATACATTTCATTCCGGAATAGTAGCGGGGGCATTTTTATAATAAACAGTATATGAAGACAGCACTGTGTCCCTGTGGGACTGGTGCTCTGAGTTCATTTCCTGCTACCCTTCCTCTACTTTACCCCCAACTCCCCCCCTCCAGCCACTCCAAGATGCTTCCTCTACCATATGAAGGACTCTCCCACATTTGCCCCTGATAGGCCTTGTCTAAAGACTCCCCTGCTACCTTGAGTTCTTGCTCAAATGACACCTTTTCAATGGGGCCATCCCTATCTAAAACTGCAGCTCCCCACCCCCACCCTGATTCTCCCTATTCCACTTCCTTGCTTTATTTTTCTTCAATAAAGTCAGCTCTTGTCACCACTACATAATTTATTTCCTCGTGTTTTCCACTAGTATGAAAAGCTCTATAAGGGCAGGATTTTGTCTGTTTTGTTCACTTCCCATATCCTCAAGGCCTAGAATAGCATATGGATATCTTTATAGGTGATTTACAGATCAATGGCTTAGAAATACCAATTTTGAAATCTTTAGTTAGAATTGCAAGATTAAAATTGAATAAAAAACTCAAGGTCTCAAAAAAAAACAAAACAAAAAAAAAAACTCAAGTCTCAGAGCACCTGGGTGGCTCAGTAGATTACGCATCTCCTTTTGGCTCAGGTCATGATCTTAGGGTCCTGGGATCAAGCCCCACATGGGGCTCCCTGCTCAGTGGGGAGTCTGCTTCTCCCTCTCCGCCCCCCTTCCTGCTTATATTTTCTCTCAAATAATAAGTAAAATCTTAAAAAAAAAAAAATCAAGGTCTCTATACATTACTTTTAATCTTTGTGTAGAAATACATATATATACTGTAATAGACACAGTATACAGATCTGTAGAAACATATTTTATATGTAAATATATAATTATATTATATATAATAAAGTATATATGTAATAGCTATATTATTATATAGTTTTATATAGATATAGATATTGGTGTCCAGGGCTGAATTTAACTTAAAAAAGCCAGTCTAAAAAAAAAAAAAAAAAGGCCAGTCTATTCTCAGAAAGACAAGGAGACTTAGAACATATGACATATTACTTGAAATTACTAGACCTTACTGAGATTTCTCAAATTCTCCCCTTAAGCATCTTTTAACACTTCCTTGCTCTGCCTCCCTAATCTGTTGCTAGATTCTACTGACTGTATTTCTGTGCCACTTCTTCCCTTGCCCCTGGCCCTCTTTTCAGGTGGACCCCACAGCTCTGGCTTCCCAGTTGCCAGCCCACACTCCCACACTCCACTGCAGGATTAAACCTGCTGAATCACTCACCTGCTCAGTCACATTAATGGTCCCAATGTCTGTTCATTCAAGTATAAGAGCCTCAATGCTACCACAGGGCTCAACATCCCCTCTGCTTCTCTCCCATCCTTAAGCTCCTCACACCATAGCCCTGCTGCCTCCTTTGAAGGCTTTGAAGTCCCGACCCACCTCCCTTACCAAACCCTGGCTCTGTGCTGAAGCTCTGGTACTTGTCACTGCTCCCTATCAGGCTGCAGGCTCTTTGAGAGAAAGGATGGGCTTTTTCTTCTCTGTGTCCTATAAAATATCCTTCACAGACAAGATTTTCTAAACAATGTTAAGTAAAAGAGGACAATTCTTAAGCTCTAAAGAATGGGAGAGAAGAGACTGATTCTTATGTTTAAGTAAGAAACAAGGTGAAATACAGTTTTGCCAGATACAGTCAAGGCTACTTGTAGAAATTAGGATTTCAACAAGATCAATTTAAAACGGTATAGGCAGGGGTGCCTGGGTGGCTCAGTCGGTTGAGCGTCAGCCTTCAGCTTGGGTCGTGATCCTGGAGCCCTGGGATTGAGCCCCGAGTCCACCTCCCCCCCCTGCTTTTACCTTTCCTCCTCCCCCTGCTTGTGCTCTCTGTCAAATAAGTAAATCAAAATAAAATAAATCAATACATGCAGGGAAAAGCAAAGTAGAAGAATGATGTAGCTTGGGGCAAAAAAAGCCCTGCCCTGGAAGGCTGAAACTGAGGGCCCAGCCCTAACAGTCAACTATAAAAATGCTGATCTCAATCCTTCTTGTTGAGGATTTGGTGATCTCACCTTTGGATAGAATCAGAAATTGTGAAATTTAAAAAACTCTGTTTTTGTTTTTAAAAAGCTAAAAGGCTTAAATATGAAGGAGAGACATTATGGATAATATTCTGGGAGCCTATAATGCAATGCCAAAAGTCGGCTCTATGGTCTTCTCATGGCCACTTGCTCTGAGAGCTGGTCCTTTCAGTTGCCTAGGGTTCTTGTATATCCAAGCAGGACCCAGACAGGTGAGGCAAGTGGCCTGTGGTACCTCAGCTGCCATCATCTCTGGGTGGTAACCAGGTTTGCTGTCGAACTGATAAAATGATGTGTGACCTTCTGACATATGCCAATATTTTTCCATCTAAAACACTGTTTTGGAACATTTTATTATCGAAGGAAAAACACTTGCTATGCTCACGAAAATAATGAGTCACAGATCAATGACGAAAGAGAGCATGCTGGTCAGACTCTAATCTAAAGCCAAATCAGAATTATTACTGGACAGAAGAACAGAGAGGACTCTGAAAGCCCCAAATCCTTGGATTTGCATGGCTTTATCCAGGAAGATCACTTTGGAAATCAAATACAATTTCCCAGCTGTAGGACTCCACTCTGCTAACTATCACCAGGAAGACAAGATCATAAAAAAGGAGACATGGCAGATTAAATGAGAAACAAGCTCAGTCTTTCACTTCCCTCAACGTAAAGACCCAATAAAGTGGCTAATTTGGATGAATGTCAAATTTTACAGCCCTCAAGTATTTCAGCCTCTATAAAAACAAATGAGTAATTTGAGGTTACAGAAGATAGTTCTTATAATTATGATTACAAGATTCTAATCATTAGCTAGAACTTAAAAAAAATTTTTATGCAGCATGTCTTTGTAAAAGGCCTGCCAGCCAGAACTATTAATAGAAAAGCCTAGAGCCACTTAAACATGAAATCTGGAAAGAAAAAAAAAACAAAAGATAAAGCTTGCCTTTTTAACTGATGCACTTAGTTAATAATCATAATTCAAGCTGTATACATACCCTCTGAGTATAATTCCCTCTCTTCTCCTTGACTCCACTATCCTTTTTTATTAAAAATGTAACTTTTTCTGGAATAGGTTTCCTCCAAAGCAGCTGAGCAAATGCCCATGTCACCCAAAAACTAAATCCAAATTACCTTCTTTTAAAGTCCATTTGATTGAGCCTGTCCTCTTGCTGACAGCATGCAAACTTCCATCCAGAGTTGACACAAACAACAAGGTTTCAGGAAGTGTCACTGTGCTGGGACTTCCAAAAATCTGCAATGAGATATAGAAGAATCTTCGTGTACAGCAGGATTCTTCATCTTGGGCATGTACAACCACATAAAACCCCCCTGGGCACATCTCAAAGTTATCCATCTAAAATCCACCACCTTACAGATAAAGGCATTGAGGTTACAGAGCCTACTATGTCTAAGGGCACATGTCTAGACAATAGCTGAGTCAGGACTAGACCCCAGATCACTTTATGTGAAGCAGCAATCCTTCCTGCAGACAGGCTTAGAACCTGACATGAAGGACTGGGATTCTGAAATAACCCACAAGCAGTCTCCACTGAAACAGAGGAAGAAGTATGCTCAGCTTTCTAACGGACTTCCTTCTCTTGGTTATACTTCACTTTCTAAAACCTGGTCCTCAGGGCACCTGGGTGGCTCAGGTGGTTAAGCATCTGCCTTTGGCTCAGGTCATGATCTGGGGGTCCTGGGATCAAGCCCCGCATCAGGCTCCCTGCTCAGCAGGGAGTCTGCTTCTCCTTCTCCCTCTGCACTCTCTTTGGCATATGCTCCCTCTCAAGTAAATAAATAAAAAATAAAATATCAAAAATAAATTAAATAAAACCTGGTCCTCTTGCAAGGCTCCAATATAAAGAAGAATGCCAAAACACCCACATGCAATTATGGAATTTTACAAAGGCAAAGAATTAGAAGAAAGCATTTAAAGCAAAATAAGAAAAACCGCTCTCATTACATAAAAAAGTTATATTATAATAAAACACCAAGATTTCAAGAGACAGGTTATAAAATGCATGAAAAACATAAACCAAATTGTTCTTCGCCTATAATCAAAATATAAATAACAATGTAACTTTTATGCTGAGTTAAACACACACACACACACACACACACACACACACACACACACCCTCTTTACAGAAAATAGCCAAAGGTGGTGATATTTACTTTCTCACCCATCGTTGGTGGCGATGAAAATGATAAGTTAGTGCAATCTTTCTGGAAAGCATAAAAGTGCTCAGATTTTTGATCCTGTAATTCCACTTCTATATCCTAAAGAATAGTTCCAGATAAGAAAAAAGCTGTGTGCACAATGATGGTCATTGTATCCCATTTACAAATACAAAAACTGGAAAGATCTGAATTTCCGGTAATATCTTAATGACTGAAATAAATTATGACACATACACTTAATGGAATATTATGTAATCATTAAAACAGCACTTAGGAAAATTTACAGCAATGCTTCTATAGGTCTTCATATGAAAAATATAGAATCCAAATTTTAATGTACACTGCGGTGATGATTATTAAACTCGATAGATTTTTTTTTCCTTTAGTCTGCCTATCCTCTAGCTTGGCTAAGAACTGCACCCTCATCCACATGGTTTACATAGGAGCAGCTGGGTGTGTGCACACATGCACGTACACAAGTGCAATTCACACATGTGCAGGTGATAGCTAGTAAGGTTTCCTGAAACAACATGCCTTTGATGTATGGGCTCATTCAGCAATGCCTCCTTGTAGTAAGATTTTCTCTTTGTCAGTATACTATCCCACAAATGATCTGCTTCCTGTGGGTCTTAAATTAAAAATGGGCCACACACTCTGAAAAACAGTATGGAGGTTTCTCAAAAAGCTGAAAATAGAGCTACCCTACCATCCAGCAATTGTGCTGCTAGGTATTTATCCAAAGGATACAAACATAGTATAGTGATTTGAGGAAGGACCTGCACCCCAATGTTTATAGTAGCAATGTCCGTAATAGCCAAACTACGGTAAGAACCCAGATGTCCATCAACAGATGAATAGATAAAGAAGATGTGATACACACATCCACCATGAAATAGTACTCAGTCATCAAAAAAAAATGAAATCTTACCATTTGCAATGACGTGGATAGAACTAGAGGATATTATGCTAAGTGAAATAAGTCAATCAGAGAAAGACAATTATATACTCTCACTCATATGTGGAATTTAAGAAACAAAACAGGATTATAGGGGAAGGCTGGAAAATAAAACAAGATGAAATAAGAGAGGGAGACAAACCATCAGAGACTCTTAATCATAGGAAACAAACTAGGGTTGCTGGAACAGAGAGGGGTGGAAGGATGGGGTAACTGGGTGATGGGCATTAAGGAGGGCACCTGCTATAATAAGCACTGGGTACTATATAAGACTGATCAATCATGACCTCTACCTCTGAAACTAATGATACACTATATGTTCATTAAAAATAAGAATATAAATAAATAAGTAAATAAGGGCCAACACAACTTGCTTAATACTGTGAGAGTTTGGATTTTGGCACAAAATTTTTAAAATTCTATGGCTGGCTTTTAGCACTAAATGAAAGACTGGGGGGGTTTACCTGTGCATGGCAGCCTGACCCCCAAATACCTGCCCACTCTTGGTAAGAACCAGGATGGCACCTAGTTAATCCCTTAGGAAGGAAAGCCCAATGGCTCCCTCTAAAGCAGCCTGAGATGGCAGGACAAACATCTTGGTCCCTGCATTCCTTTTCCACTGTGGAGACCCACTGGCAAAGGGGGTGAAGCAGCTACCAGAACCTCACTCTCTCCTCCCTTGCCTGCTCCTGGCCTAGAGGCAAAGAAGTTCCACCCTTTCTTTTGCCCAGAGCTGGGGCCCACTCACCTGGAATGGGACACACAAGAGCAAGCTTCCTCACTACCTGCTAAGTCTGTTCTCAGTGTAAAGCCTCAAGTCTGAGGAAGAAGAGTCTCCTTTTTACCTGGCTGGGAAAACAGAAGCCTCAAGGGTAGTGTCTGCCTTAGCAGGGAATCCAGAGGTCAAGCACACCCAATGTTTGGGGTATGAAATTATTTTAGCCTACAGTGTATAGACAGTGACAAGCCTCATCTGAACCTGCTCACACCTGAAGCAGAGAAACGCACATTGCCCAGAGCACACGGGCCTGCAGAACAGTGGCCTGAAGACCAGACCTGAGGGCTGCAGCTAAGGGAGACGGAGGACTGTCTCTCCCTGAGAAGGTAGAATGGGTTTACAGCTGATGTGGGACAGTGAGATTAGTAGGGGAGGGAGGGAGGCAGGCTAGAGACTGAACAAATAAAAAGGGAATAATGTATGCCTCCCTGGGACCAAGAGGTGGGAAGCCCCCCTGAGTCCCCTCCCTCTGTCATAGTTCTCCCAGGAACAGGTATTTTGTACAATAACAGGTCTTGGGAAGACACAAGAATTGTGTTGAACTCTGAGTCACTGAACTGGCAAGAAATTAAACTCAGGAGATCTCTGTGAATGTTTACTGGATGGGAGAGACAGATTAAAAGGGAGAAAGAAGCCTGAGAAGAAACACAGCTGAAAGATGGGGAGAGTGCCCTGGCTTCCACGCTTCCTCAAGGACTTGGGCTTCCAGTCCTTGGGCTCAGAGAGCCTTACAAATAATTCCCCCTCTTTGCTTATGTTTCTTGGAACTAGATTTCTGTCACTTGCCACCCCAAACTGTCCTAAAACAAACACACATATAAACATACACATACCCCTTTTGTTTATTTACATAAATAAATATTATATATATATAAAGATGAAGAAAATACTGCAAAATTATAGCAACAGTCTTTTTCTATGTATTCTAAATTCTCTATAATAGGATCGTATAATCAGTAATGAATTTTTCATAAAAAATAGAAAGGAGATGGACAAGTTAGCAGGTTAGCCCAAATTTAAAAGAGCTTCAGCAAGACCCTAAGTTCCAGATGAAGTGCTTGCCATATCAGGACATCAGACAACTGGACCACTTTTGATCATTAATATCCACCAAACAGAAACAAAAGTTTAGCAACAAAAAGGTCCCTTGGTAAGACAGGGTGTATCCAGGAATAGAGGAGTTTTGTCATGGTTATTAAAGCCTACAGTACAATTCTAATGAACTAAAATATCCCCAAACATATCTTATCACAGTATGAACATTAAAATGGGTCCATATTTACTAAAACATATCAGTGCTGCTTCATTACTGGTGTGGAAACAAAAGCCACCTGCCTTGTCTGAGCATCTTAGAAACCACAGGAAGAGCAATTGTCTATGGTTGGTTGGTGAATCGAAAGACGACCACTAATCACATAACTAACACAGTCCTCTGAAAATCTCAAAAATACCAGGTTTGGCTAGAAGTTGAATTTAGCAACCAAGAGTGCTGATGGTTAATCATAGTGTCCACACTGACGTCACAGACCCTGTCACAACAGGCTGCTCTCTTCTTTGGAGGCTGCTGACGGTTTCCAATTAAAATGTCCAGGGAGCTACCCTGAACAGTGTTATTCTCTCACATGGCAAATTACCATCACAACATTTCTGGCTTTTCTCCCCCAGCATTTTTGAAAGCATGAAAATGCCTGCCTTCAGATACAGTCGCTATTACCAAGCTGAACTAAATAAGCTTCTAGATGCTTTTCGGGATACTGAGCAGGCTGAGAACCATTTGTACCTGAACATCTAAAATGCTGCTTCACAACGATGAACTCGCAAGCTACCTCACCTGGCCACTTTAGTCCCTGGGGCTCTCTTCTCTCTGTGATGGATGAAAGGGCCAGAGGCCCACTGTTACACACACTCATTTCCAGAGAGCCTGAAAATGGAAACAAAATGCTGATTCTGTAGATCTGCTTCAAGTTGACTACCTGGAATCTAACTCATTTTTCCAAATAGGAGGATATGTACTTCTGGCTTCAACGGCGACTTCTAAGAAGTAATCGCAAGGACACTGTGGCCAGGGAGAATGCTAGTAGCTGGTAACTTAGTCTAATTTAACACTGAACATCCATTAGCCATCTGGTCCTTGTGGAAACCCAATCACACACACACTCTCCCAGGAAGTGATCCCAAGGTAACAATGCCGGAAACCCCCAGCCCGAGGAGTATGAATGAAACCTGGCAATTCAGGGCAGATGATGCTGGGCAGTCAAGTTGCTAGTAAAACCAATTTATTTCATGTAAGTTCATTCAGTGGTGGTAGGACAGCCTCACTGCAGCCCTGCTTGGCCAA